CTCTTGCTGTATTCTCGCTGCCTCCAATTCCAGGATTTCTCCTTCGCTCATCACCGTAGCAACAGGAACGACTCCTTCTGCGTCCCCAACGACGAGGATACTGCTTTTTGTCGCAGCAACAGGCGCAGTTTCTTCCGCTTCACCTGTCAACAGATCACCACTTTCAGCCGCGAAACTCACTTTGTTGCGAGCTCGCTTGGAAACAGGGATAACATCCCCAACCAGTTCTGTCTGGCACCCTTGCTCCACCATCTTTGACGTAGAGGAGCTTGTTGTTGGCGCTCCCGTTGATTCAGCAGATTCCGCAGCTCGAAGAAGATGCCCATGTTTGCTCAGAAGGCGCAGCAAGACTGTTTCCATCTGGTCTTCCAGTCCTTCCACCACCGGCTTCTCTTCGCCACGCATACCACCAACATCAACCAGAGCTTCCACATTGGGAACAACTTTTTCACCCGTTGCAGACCTTTTGACACCACCTTCACCTTGGTCGCCCACATTGGAGCTCGATGATGCCGCACCAGTCCGTAACCAGTTGGTCGCCATGGCTTCAAACTTCCACCCTAAAGCCGAAACACAAACCGCAGGGAACCTAATTTGGGCTCATAACCTACGGGGGGCAACCGAAGGAGGACAGGGAACAAATCAGTCAACCCCAACAGAAGCCCTTGATCCCCTGGACCAACCAACAACAAACCAACCCAAAACAGAAAGCACCCTTTGTTCTCGAGGCGCATGGCCCGATCTTGAGCCAAAAAAGATTACCGGGTACGTTGACCCTTCTACTTCCAACACCAACTCCTTTCTACAATACCAACTGCAGCTCCGCACCCTAAACCCTAAACCCTAAACCCTAAACCCTAAACCCTAAACCCTAAACCCTAAACCCTAAACCCTAAACCCTAAACCCTAAACCCTAAACCCTAGACCCTGAGCCCTTAAACCCTTACACCCTAAAGCCCCAAAGCCCTGACCCCCCGAACCGAACGTCCCAGAAGCCCTACTTGGAGGTTCAGGGTACTCGGGGTACTTCTTACAAGAAATTATAATGGTACTTGTAACCCACTTTCCCTTAAGTGCCCAAATATGGTTATAAGTACAGTTCTAAGTACAGTTGTAGTTGGTTAATAAGTACCCTAACCCTACACCCTAAGCCCTAAACCCTCAACCCTCAACCCTCAACCCTCAACCCTCAACCCTCAACCCTCAGCCCTCAACCCTCAACCCTCAACCCTCAACCCTCAACCCTCAACCCTCAACCCTATACCCTCAACCCTCAACCCTATACCCTATACCCTATACCCTATACCCTACACCCTATGCCCTTTGCCCTACACCCTACACCCTAAACCCTAAACCCTAAACCCTAAACCCTAAACCCTAAGCCCAACCCCACGCAGCTCCAAAAAAGGAAGAGCGCTGCCGAGATCTGGGCAGCCTGTCAGGCTACTCTGGCTGGTGCTTGGAAGGGGCTGCGGGGTTTAGGGTTTAGGGTTTAGGGTTTAGGGTTTAGGGTTTAGGGTTTAGGGATTAGGGTTTAGGGTTTAGGGTTTAGGGTAGATATGCGCACATATAGGGCTCTAATTCCCTCATTCCCGAATAGGCACCAGGGGGGTACCGCTTCACTTCAGGTGGCTTCTTTTGGGGTTTTCACAGGGCAGTCGAGGGTGCTGCTTTGCTTTTTGGTTACTGGGGGAAGGGGGGGGGGTGGGGTTTAGGGTTTCGGGTTTAGGGTTTGGGGTTTGGGGTTTGGGTTTCGGGTTTAGGGTTTTAGGTTTAGGGTTTAGGGTTTAGGTTCGGGTTTGGGGTTGGGGGTACTGCGTTTGCTTTTGGTTGCTGTCGGGTTTTGAGGTGTAAAGGTGTTGAGATCTATTGCTACTGGTTTCAAGGCTCGGTGGTGGAAATCCTACGTTGGGATGTCAGTTGAGAGCTCACTGAAAATGGCGAGGGCATTGACGGAGTTTTTTGAGTTCCAGACCCTAATCAAAAGCTCAGTATTGCAGAAGGAGCTCCAGCAGGGACCATAATGTAGAGAGCTGCCGAAGCTGCCTCGGCTGGCTTACGTGTGGCACTCGGTGGCCACAAGAGCTTCATGTCTTTGGCTTGCTCAGCTGGATGTTCGTGGGTGTCAGATTCCCTAAGCCCTAAACCCGAACCCCAGACCCCAAACCCCAAACCCCAAACCCTAAACCCTAAACCTTAAACCCTAAACCCTCAACCCTGACAGGAAGACAGCGTTGAAGCCAACGCGACTTGCGACTCCTTGGCGAAGGCACGCTTCAGCCCAGCTTCATGTGGTGGGAGTTTTTTCAACTTCGCGCTCCAAGTCTAGAGTTGGAATGTTCCCCCTTGTACTAACCTTCCTTCATAGAGATTCTGGTGCCCCCCGTATCATAATCCCTATTAAGGACTGTCAGTAAAAGGGGGAACATCCCAAGGGGGAAAATTTTTCAACTTCCCGCTCCAAGTCTAGAGTCTAGAAATGAATGCCCCACGGAGCCCCAAGACCCCTCAGCTAAGGAGTAGGCCTTGAAACTTCCGAAAGGGATCCTGTTTGTGAGTTAAGGTCCTTTCCTTACTTAAGGGGACCATTTGGGGGCTTCTTTGGGGTAACCCTAAACCCTAAACCCTAAACCCTAAACTTTGGGGTCGATCTGAGAGGCCGAGCTGGAGGAGATCAGCGGCTCCATGGACGTGTGGACAGCGGAGATGGCGGCGAAGGCCCAGAGGGGCCCCAGGGTTTAGGGTTTAGGGTTTAGGGTTTAGGGTTGCATGACTGAAGGTGCCCAATTGGTGCCCACACTTTTGGCTGCTTTAAAGGGTTCTTTAGGGAAATAGGTGTGGTGTAAGGGTGCTATCATATGGCGAGAAATCGCATCTCTTCAGAATCATCGGGTTTGGGGGTTGGGGAAACCACCCTAAACCCTAAGCCCTAAGCCCTAAACCCTAAACCCTCTAACCCTCTAACTAAACCCTAAACCCTAAACCCTGAACCCTAAACCCTAAACCCTAAACCCCCTAAACCCTAAACCCTTTGAAGCAGAAGAGTGCAAGGTGAAGGCTCTTGGCGAGGCCATGCTGGAGGGGCGCGAAGTCGTCCTCAGTGCCTTGGAAGAAGCGTACCGAGTTCTTCGAAGGGAAGTGTCATTTAGGCTGTGGGGTTTGGGGTTTAGGGTTTAGGGTTTAGGGTGTAGGGTTTAGGGTTTAGGGTTTAGGGTTTAGGGTTTTAGGGTGCCTCATACTTGGAAGCCCCTGTTGACGTAGTAAAAAGCCAGCAGGTTTTCAGCTTGCATCCAGAGGTTTAGGGTTTAGGGTTAGTGGAAGAGCGAAGTGAGGAAAGCTGCGAGCTGTCCTGGTCGAGCTCTTGACAGACGCCCTGGACTGCTCCGATGCCGTGTTGGACAAGGCCTGCTCTTAAATCCCCCGATACATGTAGCCTTTAGTCGAAACCCTAAACCCTAAACCCTAAACCCTAAACCCTAAACCCTAAACCCTAAACCCTAAACCCTAAACCCTAAACCCTAAACCCTAAACCCTAAACCCTAAACCCTAAACCCTAAACCCTCCACTCTCAACCCTAAACCCTGAACCGCAAAGTCGGGCACCTCATTTCCTGAAGAGCGACTAAGAAGGTGGCTGAGATGGCCTCGGGCATCTCAGAAACCTACAAACCGCTCCACGGCCTGGCTTTGTCATATGGTGGTTTGCCATATGAGGGTTTAGGGTCTAGGGTATAGGGTTTAGGGTTTAGGGTTTAGGGTCTAGGGCATGGGGTTTAGGGTCTAGGGATTAGGGACATATGAGGGTTTACGATATTTGCGGGTGCCCCAAATAGGGGGGGCTTTTGAGGGTATATGAAGGGTACCACTATTCGGGGAAATTCCCATATCTTGTCACGGTGTTGTCGGGTTGGCTCAGTTCAAACCTCTACAGTAGGGTTTAGGGTTTCGGGTTCCAGGCAAGCCCCGGCACATCCCAACGCCAGCCCTAAGCTGCTCGGCAGAATGCTGAGGAACGCCTCCGCCCCGCGCAACGTGTCCAACAAGGAGTGCCGGATCGTCTGGGGGCTTGCGCGGTACAAGTGCAAGATCCAGACCCCGGACCTGAACGACACCGAGACCGACGAGGTTTCCGAGTTGCTCAGCACTGATCTCTTGACCACCAACATCAACGTTCGCCGGCTGGGGCGTCGGTTGGCAGTCATCACTGATTCCTATGCGGCCCAGGAAGAGGAAGAGACGATCGCAGGCACAGGTACAGGTGGTGACGGCGATGACGGCACCGACGGTGACGGCGACAATGATGGCGATGATGCCGGAGACCATGCGTCTACATCTCATGGCCTGTTGACAGCTGCATATTCCGTTTCAGCTGCTCTACTCTCACTCCTGTTTGTATAAGTCAAAGTGACATGAGAGAGGCGCCTCCCCAAAATAGGCCCTGACCAGGGCTTCCGCACGCTGAAGCTGAGTTCTTCGGCTGCGGATACTGTACAGTAGGCGCCTCGTCTCGTGGGTTCTGGCACTACGAATCCAAAGATCGGTTCTGAGTTCTTTTAACCGACTCAGAATTTCGCAAGGTGGTACATGGTGCGACCTTGCCACGAGCCTGGAGCTGCCGAAGAAGCTCGGGGCAAGTCCGCGCGCCTTCGGGAGCAGCTACCTTGAGCTGCTGCCAGCAGCGCCATGGTTCCAACGCGAACTCCTTGGCCCAAGGGGGTCAAAAAGGGTTTTGTGTAGGGTTTAGGGTTTAGGGTTTAGGGTTTAGGGTTAACAAGTCCTCGATGTTGGGGGGCCTCTGCCTCTTTGCTCATGGCCTGCGTTCATGATTTTGCTGGTGTTCCGTTGCAGTCCCTCGGAGCTGTTGCAAGTCTCCTCAGTGCTGGGCCGGGAGGTCAAGTTTGGAGTGTAGGGTTGTCATGCTGCGGTTTAGGGCTTAGGGTTTAGGGTTTAGGGTTTAGGGTTTAGGGTTTAGGGTTTAGGGTTTAGGGTTTAGGGTGGCAGGCGGTGACGAGTTTACGGTGGACAGCATCAAGACCTACGAGGTCAGCCAGGTGCAAGACACCTCAAAGCACGCCGCCCGATCCAGGTTTGGGAGGGCTTCCCCATGTGGATGACGTACTTCTATTTACCTTGAAGAAGGGTCCCTAAACCCTAAACCCTAAAGCCTAAACCCTAAACCCTAAACCCTCAACCCTACACCCTACACCCTACACCCTAAACCCGGAAAGGCCTTAAGGATATCACCTGAGCCGAGGAAACGCCGGTCGAAAAGCTGGTCTACCTCGAGCCGATCGACTCTTTAGCCTTTCAGCGGCATAGGTCCACGAGCCTCACTTGAGGATCATGGTACTTATTCACCAAGTACAACTGTACTTCGGGGTTTAGGGTTTAGGGTTTGCGGCTTAGGGTTTCGGGGTACATATTATCCAATCATGAGTGTACTTACAACCCACTTATGAGCCCCTTAAGTGCCCTAATATGGTTAGGAGTACAGTTGTCAGTACAGTTGATAAACTGGTTAGTAAGTACCATGAACCTCCAAGTACAGTAGTACAGTGGGAGCGGTTTGGGGAAAGAGGAGTCGAGCTACCAAATCCTTGATGGTCCCAACTCATGGACGCAGAAACCCTACCCCAGCCCACCCCCCTCCCCCTAAAAGAACAAGAAATCCTAGGGCAGGAACAGCCCTAAACCCTACTGATTAACCCCTAACACCTAACCCCTAAACCCTCAACTCCGAAACCCTAAACCCTAAACCCTAAACCCTGAAAACCTAAACCCCAAACCCCAAACCCCAAACCCTAAACCCTAAACCCTAAACCCTAAACCCTAAACCCTAAACCCTAAACCCTAAACCCTAAACCCTACACCCTAAACCCTAAACCCTAAACCCCAAGCCCCAGGTTTGCCTGTCGCGCGGCAGTCGCAGCTTCCGCCTCTACGAGCCAAAGCGCTGTACTCTGAAGCACATGGTCCCTGGCCACCGTGGCTCAGCCCTTTGGCTGAAGAGCAAAGGGATGAAGGGGTTTAGGGTTTAGGGTTTAGGGTTTAGGGTTTAGGGCTAGAGGTCTGCTTTTCGAGGGATTCCTGCTGTGTTTGGGGGCTAGAGAGGCGGACTCGCTTTAAGCGCCGCACCTCGCCGGCCTTGGGTCGCTTTCCCCCCCAAAACCTCAAGACACCGGGTTGGAGGTCCGAAACACGGACTCTCGTGCCTGAATATCTCCGTGCGCAAATGAATGATCCAAAATCTTATCCAAGGCGGGGTCGGGTGCAAGACTGGTAGGGGTTTCTGGGGGCGTGGAATTATGTTCTTGCACGAAGAAAGAAGTATCTTCGATTCTTTGGGGTGAAGGTGGGGGACATGGTGGGCAAAGCGGCTCTGGGTCGGGTCCGGGCCGGGTCTGGATCTGGAGGGTGTCTTGTGCAAAGCTGCGAAGCGGTGCATCCTGTTGCCTCGATGTGGACCCGCTAAGGGCTTAGAGTATGGCTTCCGGATTTGGGACTGATCCCTTTTGCTCATGCAGCTGGCCTTCTCTCAACGCACAGTGTACCTGGCCGTCTCTCATGCTGTACTAAACCTTAAACCGTAAACCCTAAACCCTAAACCCTAAACCCTAAACCCTAAACCCTAAACCCTAAACCCTAAACCCTAAACCTTGAACCCTAAACGCTAAACCCGAAACCCAAAATCCCTGCTCTAAAGCAGGTGATTAACTGCTGCTATGTGGACGCCTGGAGCCAGATTGCAACTACAGCCGCTGACATGACGATCTGCTTCTGGGCACCTGGGAAGAACTTGGTTTAGGGTTTAGGGTTTAGGGTTTAGGGTTTAGGGCTTGGGGCTTGGGGCTTAGGGTTAGGGGTTGGGGTTTGGGTTTAGAGTTTAGGGTTTAGGGCAAGAAGAAGACCTTGGCTTAGGCCCTAAACGTGCCTTAGCATCGAAGGGTAGTTTAGGGTGCAAGGGGGGTACCCTTTTTCAGGGCCCGTACTGAGGGACCATGTGACTACCCTTAGATAGCAAGAAGAAGACCCAGGACTCGCACCTCCAGTTGCGCAATCGCCTTGCAGCCAAGGCAGGTGCCGCGAATTCCGACTGAAATCCGATTGAAGTCGGCATACTTCAGGTCAAACCCTAGACCCCCAAATCACCCCAAAACCGGGGTTACTTCCTCTTGAAGGGATGATATCGGATACCTCATTCCCCCATGTTAGAGTGCAACCCTGAACCCTAAACCCTAAACCCTAAGCCCTAAACCCTCAACCCTAAAAGGGTTGTGCAGGATGTGCAGCTGTGCCTTCAGTGGGACAACATCTCGCGCAGCCTCTTTAGTGGTGCAATCGACGGCACGCTCAGCCGGTGGGATGCCTTGCACGCAAGAGGTTTAGGGTTTAGGGTTTAGGGTTTAGGGTTTAGGGTTTAGAGTGGAGGGTTTAGGGTTTAGGGTTTAGGGCTTAGGGAGGGTCTAGGGTTTAGGGTTTTAGGGTTCAAGGTTTAGGGTTTAGGGGTTAGGGGTTAGGGGCTAGGGGTCGGAAAAACTACTGGTAGTATTCCCTTAGAGCCCCTTTATAGTTATACTATGAGAACCCCCCAAAACCCTATTCAGGCTCCAAAAGTAGCTGCTTGTGAGCCCAAATCAACCCTGGTCCCATTTCTACTGCAGGTCAGATAGTCCGTTACGCGTCGCAGTCCGCCATGACGAGGATCTGAACAGCATGACCCTCGCGGACATCCGCAAGGGCAATCACAAGAAGGCCTTCCTGCAGAGATTGTTTCCTGGTCTCCGTGCAGTCCTTGGTTCTCCGACGTTCTCCCATCCCTTCCCCCTGCCTATTGCTGAATGTTTTTGTTCGCCTCTGGACAGTTGTTAAACCCTAAACCCTAAACCCGAAACCACAAACCCTAAACCCTAAACCCTAAACCCTCAACCCTCAACCCTAAACCCTGAACCCTGAACCCTAAACTCACGGGCGAGGGGGGCAGCGACCCGAATCTGTGGCATAGGCCATCAACGACCTCTTGATGGCACAGGACATCAACCTCTTGGCTTCGGCTTCTTCGGACCTGGTCTTACATTCCACAGCCGTGCAGCATGTTCGGTGGAGAGTTTTTTTGGGGGGACTGGGCTTCGGGATGCGAGAGATTCTTGACGATGTTTGCTATAATATCACTATCTCATGACATGATCGTATTATCCAATTTCTTCTAGCATTACATTACTAGGTTTTTCTCTTGTGATCTTCTTATATTCTAGACTCGCCAAGGACGGAAGCATCCTCATGTGACTCGGCACGTCAGATGCTCCCCCAGAGATGTGCAGTTCGTTGCCCCGTGGAGAGGTGGGACACGGCCACGATGAAGCCCAAGAAGACTTTCAAAGGCCACAAGAAGGCGGAGAGCTCCAGGGTTCTGGAGTTTTGGGGGAGGGTTTAGTGGCCAATAAACCCCACTTGAGTCAGGAATATCATGTTAACGCTACGCGACCCGCCTCGGCCTTCCACCAACACCACAATCTGAACCACAGCAGCAGCAGCAGCAGTAGCAGCAGCAGCAGCAGAACGCTCAAGTAATGTGGCGTACGCATACACTACCCCAGCGACCTACAGTGTGCCCACCACACCGCTGAACGCATGGCCCAGTGCAGCCCCCTGAGCTTGTGGAGCATGCAAGCACGGCATGTGCAAGCGCTGCAGCTGCTCAGTTATCACATTTCATCAATTAGGTGTTGAGGGCACTGTAGTCACGCGGGCGGTGGTCCTGTTGTGCCGTCCGCGCCGCCACCCCCCGTTTGCTTCGGGGGGTACCCATTGCAGGCAACAAAACGCCAAATATGCAAACTGGGTCCCGTGCCGTTGGGAGGACTAGAGGTGGGGTGCCTGCTTTGTGCCACCCATACACCTACGGCCCGAAGCCTCGGCGGATTTACTTGAATTCAGAATAAGGGCCCCTAAGGGGGTTAAGGGCTTAGGAGATGGTCGGACGCCCCTGAGCCCAACTGGCTCAGTCCCTAAACCCTAATCCCCTAAAAAACCCCGAATGCACAGCATAGCACCCGTCAGTGGAAAGGTGAGGAAACAGGGGGGCCTCAGTAACCCTCCTACATTCTGAGTCGGGCTGTTTTGGTGCTCTGTTGTGGGTGTCTCTCAGCATAGGAATACCCCTTACACGCCCCAAAGTGCGACGTTAATTATTCCTACACTAGGACCCCCAGCATGGTACCCCGTGCATTCGGACGAGTCAGGAGTGGACTCCTAAACCCCCTAGCCCCTAAACCCAAAGCTCCAACACTCCGAAACCCCAAGACCCCAAATCCGAACCCAAAAAAGGCAGAAGTGAAGCTCTACAGGGGCGGACGGCGGTTCTGCGGCTGTTCCAAAACCCCCCCCCAAGCCCGACACCTCCCTGAGGGCACCTTCTCCTTGGCGTACTCCATGGCCGGGCACTTGGTGTGGCCACGTGGGGGAGGGTTTAGGGTTTAGGGTAGGGTTGAGGGTTGAGGGTTGAGGGTTGAGGGTTAGGGTTGAGGGTTGAGGGTTGAGGGTTGAGGGTTGAGGGTTGAGGGTTTCTGGAAGCTACCCTCTGCCTGCTCTGAGGGTCATGAGGGTCTCACACTGAAGCTGTCCGTGCACCGGTTCGTGTGAGGCTCCTAGACGCCCCGAACGCCCTAAACCCTAAGCCCTAAACCCTAAACCTTAAACCCTACACCCTACACCCGAAACCCGAAACCCTAAACCCTAAACCCTAAACTCTAAACCCTAAACCCTAAATGCGGAGGACTATCACTGCTTGTTGACGGCCGGACTGGACCAGGAAGCTTTGGCACAAGCCCCGGACATGATTTCAACAAAGTTAGGGTTTAGGGTTTAGGGGGGGTTTAGTGTGACAAGATGAGCCCCCAAAGCAAACCATCGTTTCGAGAGCTGAGCCCCTTCTCGGGAAACCTGCGTGACATGATTAGGGTTTCGGAGCTTAGGGTTTAGGGTGGCTTGGCCGATTGCTTGGCTCAAAGGCTATTACTGCAACAAAGTTGCGTACAAGGATTTGTTCAGGCCCTTCTCTTTCGGCCGTAGCAGACACCCAAAAGCGCCTTGGATGCAGCAAAGGGGTTAAGAGGGCAAGGCCCGAGACTGCCATGTGTACGTGAAGTGCCGTGGCAGGCGGTTGTTGACATCCTTGTCCGTGCACTATGGCTGCTGCAAAGACCGTGACAGCTGCCACTGAGCTGCACCAGCCCTAAACCCTCAACCCTCAACTCTCAACCCTAAACCCTAAACCCCAAACCCTAAACCCTAACCCTGAATCATAAACCCTAAAACCCACCAGGTTAAAGGCCCGTGAAAGCTTGTTCTGGATGTGGAGTCCGCTTGGGAGGATGCTCGGGATGTTGTCCTCCGTGGCATCCAGGAGGGTGGCTGTCGTGTGCAGTTCCTTGAACTCGTTTCAAAACCCCCTGAAACCCCTTAAACCCCTTCAACCCCCTGCCTTGACCAGGACCTGCCGCCCGAGTCCCTCCAGCGCACGGCCGCCACCTCAGCGGTTTTTGGGCTCCGCCTTCCGAAGCCCGACACCCCTCTACGTCGAATGGGGTTTAGGTTTAGGGTTCAGGGTTTAGGGTTTAGGGTTTAGGGTTCAGGGTTTAGGGTTCAGGGTTTAGGGTTTAGGGTTTAGGGCTTAGGGTCGAGGGTTGGAAGTTTCAGGTTCAGGTGAAGAGTTTGGGAGTGCTGGTTGAGTTGACCGTCTGCCTATTTTGGTTATCACCATCACCATGACCATCACCGTCACCATCATCACCACCATCACCATCCACCATCATCACCATCATCACCATCATCATCATCATCGTCGTCGTCGTCATCATCATCATGGTCATCATCACGAGCATCACCCGCACCAGCACTAGGTCTGAGAAGTACCACTGCTACGATTAGTATGTTTAGCTATCTGGTGCTACTTACTTGGGTGTATTGGGTGTATTTAAATCAATACCTCAAGCACTGACAGCAACACGTGAGCGAGCGGGTGTGGGAGCCTGCCCCTCCGCATATCTCAGCAAAGCTCAGGTCAGCCCTCGCTACCCTGTGCCGGCCTCGGCCGACTTTACAACTGGGTGTTTTCCTTACGCCCTAAACCCTAAACCCTAAACCCTAAGCCCCAAGCCCCAAACCCTAAACCCTAAACCCTAAGCCCTAAACCCTAAACCCTAAGCCCTAAGCCCCAAACCCTAAACCCTAAACCCTAAACCCTAAACCCTAAACCCTAAACCCTAAACCCTAAACCCTAAACCCTAAACCCTAAACCCTAAACCCTACCCGAAAAGCCTCAGCACCCGAAGCCCGGAGCCCGGAGCAACCCTAAACCCTAAGCCCTAAACCCTAACCCTAAACCCTAAACCTCCGAGCCCTCTAAGAGCGACCTTGCGCCCGAGACGGAGCGGATGTACTCCCCGACGGCCTCGGTGGCGCCGTCCGTGGCCACCAAGGTGGGTTTGGGCTTTGGTGTGGGGTTGCAGGGTTTAGGGTTTAGGGCTAGGGTTTAGGGTTTAGGGTTTAGGGTTCAGGGTTCAGGGTTCAGGGTTTGGGACTTAAGGTTTGGGGACTTGGGGTTAAGTTTGCGGTTTTGGTTTCGGGACCTGGGGTTAAGGGTAATTAAGGGTTGTAAACGTCTGGGGTAAGGGTACCAGGGTCTAGGGGGCTTCGAGTTCGGATATGACGCAGAGTTTGGTGTCTAAAACTTGCTTGGCAGAACTCCCATGATCAAAGGCACCCTAAGCACAGACCCCCGAACCCATCAAGCCCAAAACGGCCAGGTTGATGTCACCTGCTCTGGCGACAAAGCAGTGCCGCAGCTGCATCGCAGGGTTCGGCCCTGCGACTTCCAACAGGGCTTTTTTGGGTTAGGGTTTAGGGTTTAGGGTTAGGGTTTAGGGATTAGGGTTTAGGGTTCAGGGGTTTCGTGTCTTGCTTCTTTTTTCCGCTCGGCACGCAACGCACCCTTCAAGCGTTTTGGGCGTCTGCATCGGAGGTTAAGGCCCTAAACCCTAAACCCTAAACCCGAAACCCTAAACCCTAAACCCTAAACCCTAAACCCTAAACCCGAAACCCTAAACCCTAAACCCTAAACCCTAACCCCTAAACCCTAAACCCTCGGAGGTTAAGGGGGCCGTGACGTCCACCCGGCGCTTGATGAAGATCTCCAGCTTGACCTTCTGGGCCGTGGTCTTCATCTTCGCCACTTGGCAGGGTTTAGGGTTTAGGGTTTAGGGCTTAGGGTTTAGGGTTTAGGGTTTAGGGTTTAGGGCTTTCGGGTTTACTTTTCCGCCGCTCTCTTTGCCGGCTCCGGGGCTTTTGCAACGGTCTCCACTCAGCGCTCTGCTGGCTGGGCTGTGCAGGTTTAGAGGTTCAGGTCATGAGGGTTTTTGGGCTGGGCTTCCCAGGTTTAGGGAGTGACTTTATGAGTGCTTTTGGGACTTGCCATTTTGTTTTCAGAGGGATTTTGGGAGCTTCGGAACAGTGTAACTCCCGCGGCCCTGCGCAAGGCTTTTTTTGGCTGGCCGAGCAATGTGATTGACAACGACGACACGCACAGGCTTGGTGTTTCAAACGGGATCGGAACACTCACAGGGGTCAGGGTTCAACCCTAAACCCTAAACCCTAAACCCTGAGCCCTAAACCCTAAATCCTAAACCCTAAACCCTGAACCCTAAACCCTACACCCTCAAGCCCAGTGAGGAAAATCCTATCAGCCGTCTTCCTCACCGGCATTGCTCTCGTGGCCCTGGAGGACCGCCATGTGCTTTCTTAGTAGGGAATGGGGGAAATCGGTACCCTACATAATCCACTGCAGGGTACATATAGGTATATGTATATATATATAATATATATATATATATATGTGTACGTATATATAGCCGGCGATACTTCATTCCCTCATTCCCTACTAAGAGCCAGCAAGTCTTTCAAGGGCTTCCGACTCGTACCCCTAACGTTACACTAAAATCCCCCTTTCTTTTTCTCACCCGCAACTCCTCTGGCAGCAAGGATGTTATCCACCTGGACAAGTCAGCCATTATGCTGGCGGCCTCCTCGTAAGATTGCCATGAGAAGGAAGTGACCCATGCCTTAGTTCGTCTCTCTTCTGACCTGCTTTTCTCAGGTGCTAGCTTCGGTGATGTGGACCTATCATGCGAGCTGGCCGCAACAAATGTGGGGTTTCCGAAATTCGGGGTACCGTCTTGGGGTCCAAGGAATCCTACTCTTTGGGGGGCTATATTCGGGGTCTCCCTTGTTTTTTCGTAAACCTCCATATCAGCCTACTCAGCCGAATGCTTCATGTGATGCGATGTGTGTGCTACGTGGAGTTGTTGCATCTCAGGCGGCAGGGTATCACCCAACCATTTCGCACGAGGAGCGTCCGCGTTGGGCATGCGTGCTGAGAATCAACCGTTGACTCTAACGAAGTCAGGGTCTGTGAGTCTTCGAGGCGGCGTCTAAAAGCTGTAGGAGAGCGATCTAGTTCCAGTGCTTAGCGTTGTTCTCTTTCATGAATACTCTGCTGCAGTGGTGCAGAGTCCAGAGTGGAGTGATTTCTCCCCTTCTCGCCGCAGTTTGAAAAATGTATTCTTCTGTTTCCACAACTGCTCGGCTTGCTTTGTGAGCCTTCGATCATCTCACCTTTCTGATTCCTGGAGTCGTTGAGAGAGTCTTCCACTTGTGCTTCGTTCCGCTGTCTTTCGCTCAACCTCACCCCCATCTCACCCGGTTAAGGATGTGCCCAACCCCCCAAAATAGTACAGCGCTGACAACCCCAAACCCCAAGCCCCAAATCCTAAACCCTAAACCGTGGACCACGTTGGAACCCAAAAAGGGCATCCCACTCCCCCCTTGACGGCAAGAGGGTCTCAGATCCCAAGCCTTAATCCCGCCCGCAAAGCGTGCCGAGAAGTAGTCTCCAGTAAGCCCCTTGAACCCTGTGCCCTGAACTGGAAGCCCTAAACCCTTTAAACCCTGAACCCTGAACCCTAAACCCTAAACCCTGAGCCCCTTCACCCTGAACCCTGAGAACCCTGAACCCTAAACCCTAAACCCAAGCTCCAAGCTCCAGAACCGCAGGGCCACGAGAAGCTGCAGGAGGAGTTGTCGAATCTTGGAGCAGCCTGTGTGTGTGGTGGCTCTAATTTCAAAAACAAAATGAACATCATGAGAAATATGCATACATATATATATATATATGTACGTATACATCTGTATAACATTTTTTAAGACTTTTATGTCGATGTTTTCGCAGCTTTCCGAGGAAAGCTTCTGTTTCTTCGATATTGTGCTAGCAAAGCCGACAACTCATCAATGTGGAGAGCCAAAAAAGGCATGCATTTATTCTAAGTTTCCGCCGCAAAGCTGTATGTACTCTAGATGTCAACAGAAGACGATCAATTTCGAGTAAGACCTGTATCCGCTCTGGATCTGCGTATACAAGTTCTCATCTTAAACGACGACGACTACTACCAGTACTAGACGACGACGACGACTACTACTACTACTACCACTCCTACTACTACTACTACTACTACTACTACTACTACTACTACTACTACTACTACTACTACTATGAGTATTACTACTACCATTACTACTGCTAATGTCGCTACAATCAAAGCAGCCACATGCGACCACAAACCGAATGGAAATCTGTGATGTTTTTTTCTGAAATCTAGAGGAAACCGGGGGTTTCTGTCGCAATCTCGAGCAAGCACATGTTTCAAGTTCACAACTTACGCGAAAAGAATCGACGCGAAGCTTGGGGGTTTAGGTTTTTATGGACCT